TCATCATTATCGTTGTGATCTTTGCAGCTGGAATGTCTGTGGTATCTTCACGTCGGGGCAGAAGAGAAGTTGATCAAGGTGTCCTTGTACTGAGGGTGGTGCTGGCATGTGCTTTACTCGGTGAGCGGCAGTGACAGCACAGGGCAGGCCGGCCGCCGTCTGTGTCAGGAGGCTGTAATTATTTTCTTACAGCTGTAAGATCAGAAACATGAATGAATTGATCCCCAGCTCGAGGCCTGAATGACACAAACATTGTTATGACTGAAACATTTTTCTTATCAGGTTATTCTTAATGGAGATGCCCACTTGGGACTTGTTTAGTCTTTATTGTTTTAAATAGTCTGGGCTGAAGCATGAGGGAATTAGCCTTTGGTTTGGTGACCTTGAAAATTTGATCTAGAAGGAGGATGAGGTGCTGGCTTCTTCTTCTCAGGTAGCATCATTTTACCTCGGCTCACCACGTCGGTCGTGTGCACCAGCTTGCCAGTGGCTCCTTTGGCCTGGTGCCTCCTTCCCTTCCTGTGACACCGCTCCCTGAGCTGCAGCCTCCCCAGCCTCAGCTTTCCTTGTGAACACCCAGCTCAGGCCCACTTGAGGAGGAGATCTTCCCTGAGATGTAAACGTGGCCCGTTCCTTCTTATCCAAACTGCACTTTCTCCAAAGTAACTGCTTTCTAAAATATTCCCCTTCACCAGACACGATTTCTGTCACAATCCCATGTTCTGGATCTTTCCTATCTGCTTTCTTGTTGATGTGTTTGGCTGTTGGTTGTTTGTTTCCCTTAGCATGCAGACCCCAGGAAAGCAGGGCCCTGTCTGTCTTGCTCTCCATTTTCCTACAGAGCTTTGAGCAGTGTCTGGCACTCATCTGCTGCATGGACGTAGAAAGTCCAAATGCCACCCACACGTTTGAGTCTTGAGTTCCTGCTGTGAACCAGAGGCAGGGCACTGCTGGTGTTTCTGACCTTGACAACCACAGACACAGCACACGTAACTCCCTAACCTCAGTCTCCTCGGTCATCAGCCCCATGCGAGCGTTCGGCTCTTGCAAATGGACTCCATGGCACAGGCATGAGGCGGAGGGCTCTGGGCTCCGTGGTTAATGTGTACCAATGCACCTTTTATCTATAGCTGACTTTGCCACCCTAGGCCTGCTTTCTTCCTAAGACTTTCCCCTGGCCTCTTTCCAGCAGTCTGTCAGGGAGTTATAGACTAAGCTACCCTTCGGCAATTAGACTGGACTTTAGTTGTTTTTGAAAGATGAATTTAGAGGTAATTTTCTAATTACTAGCAGTTGTCAAATAAACTGAGACAAAAGACTGCCGAGTCTTTGCCTGGGCAGAAATGAGTTCTCGCTACAGCAGGAGCTGGTCCTGTGCCTTGGTGATGAATGCAGGGAGACAAGCAGCTTAAAAACCAATTAACTTTCTGCTTCTTTTGCTAATGTGGGGACAGTGCTGGGAAGAGTTTGGCTGCTTGAGAATGGAGTTCAAACAGGGCCAGCTGCGGAAGTTAAGCTAGCAGAACTGATGAAAGGAACACGCTTCAAGGACGTCTGCATTCTTAGCAATATCAAAATGTTCATCTTCATTTGATGGAACACTTCTGAGTCTGAATTGTCAGTACAAACGTTAAAGATGTAATAGCTATTGACGCCTATTCTAGATAATAATGCCTAAAGATATCACTGGGACATTTTTTCACAGGAACTTTAATCTGTAAGTGAAAGTTTTCCTTTCAGTTGCTGTCTGCAGAAATGTCAAACTTATACACAGTAATATTTATAAGGTGGCTTTTGTGTTTTCTTCTGCAATTGTGTGACATTTTGCTTGGTTAAGTTGTTGCATCTTGTCATGGTTTGATGTCACGTGGTAAGCAATGTCACAGAAGGCCTGGGGGTCATCTGGGAGCTGTTGCTTGGGCTTGGGTTCTGGTTTGCAGCCTTGGAGGCCAGGAACCTGGTGCTGTCAGGACCCTGTGGCAGAGCCAGACAGACTCAGAAGCACTGGTGTATCAACCAGGGGGTCAATGTCTTAGTTTACAGCAAAAGCACCGCTTTTCTAGGGAGACAGACCCCAAGTCTGCCACCCAAGTTGCCCCGCTCCTTGCAGCTACTGTTAGAGACAGTCATGGCAGGTTAGAGACAGCCATGATAGGGTGGAAAGGTAGAGCTGGCACAGAAGACTTGTCCCACTTCCACTAATGACCTTGGAGAAGCCTCAACCTTCCTGAGCCTCAGTTTCCTCATGTGTAAGTGGTGATCATGCCTCCTATGACGGGAGTTGTTGGAAAGCTAAAAGGGGAACACATATGTAAACTGCTGGGTCCAGGAGTAAGCACTGAATCATTTGAATGGGACAGGCAGATGCAGAATACAGACTGGAGCCAGTGTGTGGATTCCTGTTCCAACTGCATGGCCTGAAATCAACTCCTGTATATTTCTAACATTTGGGATCCACAAACTAAATTGGGATCAGAATGTTATCTACTTCGTGGGCTTGTTGCTGTTGTATCAAATAAGATGCTCTATAGAAAGCACATAGCATGATGACCAGACACAGTAAGGGCTCAAATGAATGGCAGCTCTCATTGTTACTGGGAAAATTAATCGTTCTGATGGTAGAATAGTAGCAGCTGTTGTGGCACCACCAGCAAGAAACACAAGCAGCCAGGAGGTGCAGGTCAGTCGGTGACTATGAAATTGGAACAGAGGTGGACTGTGTAGAGGGCTTTTGAGCCCTGGCACTACCAATGTCTGGGGCTAGACAGATTGTTCTCGTGCACTGTAGGGTGTTTAGAAGCATCTCTGGCCTCTACTCGCTAGGTGCCAATAGCATCACCCAGTTGTGACAACCAGAGATGTCTCTGGACACTGCCATTGTCCCTGGGCAGGGGCAGAATCACCCCAGCTGAGAACCACTGGTCTGGGGGAATACGTCACCTAGATGACAGGGAAACCTGTGGTTCTCCAAAGCACGCCCCGGTGCCTGCACCTGCACTCACTCCTACCTGCCAGATGCTTTGCTTCAGTTCTCTCTTTCCTAGATTTAGTCCATTTGATGACAAAGACTGAGTGGCCACTATGAACAAGCACCTGGGCATAATCTGTGGGAGAAGAAGGCTTGGCCTCTGCCCCCAGGGACACCTCACAGACCTTTTCCCTTCAGCCCCTTCTTTAGCACTGCCCTTCCCTATGTGAGGCACAATGCTGTTGACTAGATCACAGCTGTCTAAACGACCCTGCCGTCTGTGGGAAGCCACTGCTCAGCCCTTCTCTGAAGGCAGAACTTCTCTGCAGTGTATTATTAAATACTTCTTCCAAGAGTGCACCTTTTTCCTTGTGCAAATGCTGATGATATTTATTAGCATGAAAACCTTGGGGGAACACATGAACCACCCTGGACCTCAAGTTCCTATGCAAAATGGGGATAATGATATGCTCCCTTCAGCGGTGCTTGCAAGTGGATTAACTGAGATTCTGTAGGCTCTTACCCCTGTTCTCTCCTTTCCAATGATAACTTTATTCTAAATTGCAAAGGCACCTCACCATGGCCTCTTGGTATTTGCCATAAGAGCTTTTTAAGGACAGAAGTTTACGTAATGTGTTTAAACTTAAGTTTTTTGAGAATCCTGTTCTCCCTATGCCTGTATTTATCTGCATTACTATCCGATTTAAAATGTTAAGTTCTTTACCAACAGAACTTAGTGGTTTGCAAATCTCTGTATCATGACCAGAATAGCCCATCCCATTGTAATTTGGACTAATGTCTGAGAAGGCCTGCATGAGTAAAAGGTCAAATTATTTTCCAATTAAAAAAGAGATATTTTATGACTTTCAAACCCAGCGAGAATGGGGCTAGGAAGCTATGACAAAAAAATTCTTTAGGGAAACAGTAAGTAACCAGAAGAGAATGATTCAGAACTCTGTTTTGTAAGCTCTGTATTAATGACTCACTTTATGTCCATATAAAATACCCACTGAGAAATGCTCATTTATAACTCCCACCATGCTTACCGTGTTTAAAAACAACTTATGCTTTTAAGTAGCTTCAATAGTCACCCAAAATCCTGTTGACACTGTTAATTTGCTCAGCAAAGACTTTCTTTAAGATCTTAAAAGGTAAACTTTCACCCAGCCTCTGTCAGAATCACTATGAATTAGAGTTATCCAGAATTAAGAAGGTTTAGTTGGCTCACTTCCATTCTGTTGAACTTACTCAAAATGTCAGAACATTCTACATTTCCGGCATATACAATGTTCACATGATGACAGTTTTTATAGATGCCTCACATCATTTAATTCCATGCACCCCATTTTAATTGTGTCCTGTTTTATCTGTTGATTTTTTACTTGGCAAATAAATACTTTTGAAAGGAAATTTTAATTCATTTTCACATGTGCTGGCTCTACTGGAGAGCTCATAGGACTAGACAGCAACAGACCCAGCCAGATTTGAATTTTTATCTAAATTCTCAATCTGAACCTCACACTTACAAATAAATGTGACTGCTGGAAAGAGTTTGGGTGTTGGAGTCAAGAGACCAGGCTCTAGTTCTTGGGCAAGCCTCCTAACCTCTCAGGGCCTCAGTTTCCTTGTCTAAATAGTAGGGAGTTCAGTGTGGAGATTCTTGGCTGCCTTTCCAGCTCTTAGTACCCCGTGATTCCAAGATTTTCTTCTGGTCATTTTCCTTCCCAGCATCTATCCAGAAAACCCCACTCTGACATCTACTTTCCAGTATTTACACGAAAAGAACTTATTTTGTTCTATAACTTTGTATGTTTACTGCATTGGGATTTCTTTGAGTGGGACATCCTTAACACAGGATGTTCGTCATTATTTTTAAACTGTCCTGTACGATCCTGAAAATACCCTGAAACTCCATGTATGGACTGCCTGAATTGTGAACATTAACCCACATTTATATAATCACTTGGTTATGTAATCAGGCAATGAAGTTCACGTTAAAAAGAGGAGTGTCTTGACTTTTGTCTTGGGTCCAGGATCTGCCCTTGGGACCCATTTATCACCTCATTTCCCTTCTTAACTCCTGTTTATCTCTCCTGCTCCTACTCAAAGGAACAGGAAAACACCCAGTACAGCACTTCATTTTATTAAATAGATTGCTCTGGGTGAAAAACAAGGTTGTCCACCTGGAGCTGTGATAAGTCTTTTTTTCTGTACTATGAGGACACTAGGTGTGAACAGATACTGACATCGGAAAGTTGAGGGTTGAGGAGCGGGGTGAGGAGGAAAGAAAGAATGGCAAAGGAGTTATGTTGCAGTCAGTAAAGGTTAGAAATGAATCACAAGATCGGGGTAGGAAACCAAGTAATAAAATAAGTGCATAATAGTGGGTTGCCAGGTAGACAGTGGCTCATACTGAAGTGATAACGGCAGTGCAGCAGGGAGGCTGAGCCACAGAAAGGAGTGGGCGAGATGGAAAAATAAAGAGAGAATAATGAAAGCCAACACAGAGGGGGAGAGCAGAGGAGTCTGTCACTTTGTCTTAGGAGAAATTAAGAAGCAGACAAATTATAAGTGTACTTTCATTTGGAAACATGATCAGACAGTCTGAGATGGGTGCTCCTGGGTGAAGTGATCATGGCTTGTAGGTGCCTGTGAGTAGCTCGCTCTGACCTGACATGGGAAGGACCAGGACTTGCCAACATTTGCAGGTGGCGATGAAGTGCAAGACTGAGGGGATGCGTGGGGGCTCATTGGATCTCTTTGGTTCTTCTGTTCAGAAAGAAAAGAGCAGAAGAACATGGCTAACATTCTTAAGGGCCCTGGGCCAATGCGGGTGTTCTCATTGAATTTTCACCAGGGCCCTATGCAATAGGTGCTGGTTTTATCCCTCTAGTTCAGATGAGAAAACTGAGGCCAGGAGCTTGTTCAAGATCACATGAGCAGCAAGGACTCTTGCTTCCGATCTCCCTGACACCTGCCTGCCCAGGTTGCCTCCTGAAGCCACTGCATCACCGTGAATGTGCATCTCCCACGAGGGCGGGTGTGTGGCTTGCAGCCACAGGGAGGCGTTTTCAGGGCCCACCTGGAGTTGGATGACATTGTTTTCCTTTGTCCTGACACCAGAAAGGAAACTGGCATGGCCACTCTGAACATTTTTTCTTCTTTGGCATTTGGTTGCCTTTTTTCCCTCCTCCATTGGCAATAGTTCTATCAGGTTCTCAGTCAAAATAACGCATTGCCCAAGCACAAACGTGACCCTCGCTGTGTCATGGGAACACATTGCACAGAGAACTCCATCACACTCAAACACCAGCCGTGCCTTGCCAGCCCTGATGGACTTGAAGTTTGGATAAGATTTAAGTTTGTGGAGCAGCTCAGCTCTGGGAGCGTGGTAAGAGTGGGATCTAGAGAGATGGGAGTTCCTCCTGCAAACGTGCTCTTGAGCCTATCTTGAGGTCAGTAACCATGCTCAGCCACAGTGGCCTCTGCAGGTTGAGGAAGGATTCTCTGTCCTTCCAGAAGCTTCTCTCTAGTTTCAAATGTCATACCCAAATGAAGAAAGGAATGCTTCCTTTGAAATTGATGCCATCCTTGGAGCCACCACACTGAGTGTGGGCCTCTTGCACCCCCATGCAGGGTCCTGCTTTGCTCTTCCTGTCTTCCCTGCTGCAAGACCTCAGGGAATGCCCATGGACCGGGCACTTCCTGAGCAGGTTTCCACTCAAAGAAACACTCAGCAAAATAAAGAAAGTTCCTAGCGTACCGTCCAGGCCTACCTAATGTTTCATGAGGACAATAGAAGGCATCATTTGTTTTCAGAGCATAATTTTATTATATCTTAATGCAAGAAAAGGTAAGATAAATTTCCTATTATTTTAAAATAACCGCGTCATTGTTATAATACCACACTATAATAACCATTTTACTGAAAATGATGAATATATAATTGCTTTTCTTTTATATTAGCATATTATGATTTACCACCACAAATGTTGTTTTTCTTTTCTTAATTAATTTTTGTACTTTCAATATTGAAAACCTTTTCAGCATCTTCTAAACTGGCTCATTCAGGCTTATACTGTAGACCTTTTGCAACAAGCCTATAGTTCTGCCATCGTCTCTCTTTTCAGATGGTAAATTGCCCTGAAAGGTTTAATGAATAAATGAATACATTAATTAACAATGCCCAGAGAAGGGTCTCATTAAAACAGCATGTGTTTGGGACGCTCAGCTGGCATTCGGTGGATGGGGGCTGACTCTCTTATGATGAAAGATGAACTTAAGCCCCCTGAACTGTCTCCTTATGACTCATAAGAGTTTTTACTGGTATGGTTATGTAAACGAGCAGAGCATGAGGGAAATTATTGTTTAATTTCAAAAACATAACTCAATCATGAATACAAAGTATGCTCCTGCTTCATGCTTTGATGTCTAAGGTGACTCACTGCATGGTACTGCCCTTGAAAGGAGATGGGGTGTGGAGCAGGTTTGCCTGCCCGAGGGAGGTCATCCCATGTGTCAGGAGGATGCAAAGTACCTCTTGTGGGCAGGGTTCACCTTCAGTGCCCTCCGCCGAGACTAAAGGTACAGAGACGCCCTGCAGGGCAGGACCGTGACATGGCCTGTTCAGCATTCTGCACCACGTGGAGGATTTGCTACCCACCATGTGCCTGTAGCGCTCCCCCCAACTCTGTGACAACCCCCCAAACTCCCACATAGTTTCAAAGGCAGCCCCTTGGCAGGTGGTGATGAGGGATCTGCCTCAGGTTCAGAACATGTTCACAAAGTAAGGTTCTGCCAAGTCCTAAAGATGCCATGTGCACAGGCTGTGAAGTGCCCATTTGTCTCTCTTGGATTAACTTGTAATCAATCTAATTTAGTGCTGTTTTTAAATCCAGCAAGACACAGTTTGTTTATTTTATTTTGTTTTCTAAATAAAGAATGATTGCAGAAAGAGGCTTGGGAGGTCGCAGGAAAACAGAGAAGTAAAAGTGATCCATGCAAATAAAACCCAGAACCTTCTCAATGATGTGTTTAGAGGCTCAAACAAGGTAGAGTAGTGCACAGAGGCTGAGCCTTGGTCAAGGTGTCCCAAGTGCATCTGGGAGACACTCACGTCTACCTAATCTTTCCAGGTCTCAGAGTTATGACCTCCAGCTTTTCATATCCTAGGAGGAGATTGCTCTTAAAGGGATGCTCATCTAAACCAAACTCAAGACAGCGATGTCTAGAACAAGAAAGCTGACATGTTGATCTGTGCTCAAACCAGAGTTGAGCTGGCTCCGAGAGCTTCTGGTCTCCAGGATCCACATGGCCTTTGGAAACCAAAGCTCAATTCCAGGGGCTCAGGGCCAGAGAATCAAGCAAATGTGCTGTTTACAGAAACTGAAATAATTCACTCATTCAACAAATATTAGTCAGCACCTACTCTGGTCTAGCAACTGTTTTCAGGGCTGTGACCAAGACAGACAACACCTTTGTCGAGCATGGAGCTTAAGTTCTAGTTAGTCGTAGATTCTGAGATTGAATCCCTAGAAAAATGAAGAAGGCAAATGTCAAATAGTAACTGTCAGAAAGGAAACACAACAGGCGCGTGTGTTGCAGGAGCTGGGAAAGGCTGAGGCCCGGATGACCCGAAGACCCGTCCATGTGCAGGCCAGGAAGGGTGCTCCATGCAAAAGCACAGCAGGTGCAAAGGCCTTGAACTGGGGATGAGGGTGGCTCAAGGATGCGATCAAGTTCAACTCACAAAGGGGGAGCTGATTGTGAAATTCAAAGGAGATCCTTGTAGCTTCGAAGGCCGGACCATGGTCTGAGACAGAGCAGAGAATCAGCAGACGGAACAGGTTAATAAAGCAATGGACTGAAATGTTCAGGATTCCTCTGGTTGTTCTATGTGATTTCCCATGGCTGTCTCACCCCTCAAAGCTGTTGGCATGGTGCCCGGACTGCTGACCGCACTCAGATACATGTTAACAAATGGTCGCGGCACTGCAGAAAGCAGAGTGGAGTGGATTGGACAGCCCTGCAGTAGCTAAATACTTTTGTTAGAATGCAAGTGTCTGTAGCCACAGATGATCAGCTTTCTCCATTCACCAAGATGGCCCATGCAGGCCTTGGCTTCCCGGGGAGAATTAGTTTTCATCTCTGACTTAGACTTTTTTTTGTTAAGGAACAACACATGTCACATAAAACTTTTTTTTGACATGACAATACCTGGAATAATTAGATACATAAAGAACAATGAGGGAGCTGCGCTTTCCTGAGTGTATTTTGAGCAGTTATTACCCACCATCAGTGCCTTTCAAATGTCACTTGTGGAGTGTTCGTCTGTTTGTCGTGAAGCACAAAACTTTTTCTCTATTCTTTGCCAAAGTAGTTGAGAGCATTTTAAATCTCTGTGTTGAACTATGGCAAGTCACTCCAAAATTAAAGTGCTCAAAACCTTTATTTTGAAAAGCCCGAACGGTGCCCATCAAAGCAGCACAGAGAACACTGTCTTTTCAGTACTCACCCAGCTCATTCCTCTGGAAATGTCAGATATGCTCTCATTTAAATAATTTGACAGCTCACAAGAAGCCATCTGATGAGTATTGCATTCAATTGTTAAAAGTACAACAAAAAAAGTCAAGAAGTTTTTCTTCCAAAGAATTTATCATTAATTCACACAAGCTACTTTATATGTGGTCGCCTACTAAATGCAATTATTTAATTTCTCTGTTTCTTTCTCTCTCCCTCTCCTTCTCTTTTTCTGCAAGTGGAGGCTGCGAAGACCCATTTTAATATAAAGGACACTTGGGCTCTTCACCTGAAATGAAAAAACAATGCATTAAGGCTGTTAAGTAGGCTTCGCACATTCAATATGTTTGCAGGAATGTCTAAACACAGAAGTGTTTGACACATATAGAAAAATACATGTATTTTAAAGACATGCTTGACTCAAAGCACCCGAACATTTTATTTACCACCATGAGGCAGCTCATTGAAAATCCAGCCTGGCCTGTTTTGTGACTGTACACATTCCGTTTGGTTAAAGCAGCACTCAGTGTGCAGGGGTGGTTGTGTACCTCCTTAAACTTGTGTCCTGGACGTTGAATTTGACCGGATAGAAATGAACACGAGCCCCTGAAAGAAGAGGTGATCGCCACTCATCTTGTTCCCAGGATGTTCCAGACGTGGGGAGACAAACGCTAGGCTTGCTGTGGTTTGCAGTGTCTCAGGTTGAATGGACGTTGCAGGTCTAGGGGATGGATACCCAGGGATGCAAGGGAGTCAGGGGCTCCCTTACAGCTGTTCCCATACCTGTCATTCATTTAGCTCTTTAGCCTCTACTATGTCTTCCTCTTCTACTACTTTCTGTCTTTGGGTTAAAATGTGGAGAGCTGACTTGAGTGAGTAGCACACTCTCATGCTCGGGCCAGCCCTCCACATCATGAGTGGGCTGCAGCCACCCCAGGCTTCTGGGAATAAGGTGGGGTACGGGAAGCAGTTAAGAAATTGTTTTGCTGACACAGCCCACTTGTACAGAGCACCTTGTCTCTGAGGGAACGGCTGTCCTCTGTTGGGGAAAATCGGGCCCAGCGAGCCTGCCTTGCTGTGCACATTTGGGATGTGGCCGGAGCCTCAGCATCCACTTGGGAGGGTGTGTACCGGCTGCCGTGTTTCCTTTCGGCAGGCTTAAATTCATTTCTTCAGATGTTCCCGTTAGTTAACAATGATTGATAGAGTAAAGACATTATTAATAAAAATTAGGCACCCAGCTAGCGAATGGACTTTTGTTCGTGCCTCAGCACTCAGCGAAGGGCAGATGAAAAAGCTGTTTGCAGCAGCATGCAATTGGAATGAGTCGGGCCAGGTGGAAAATGAACTCGGCCATTCATCAAAGCTGTCAGGACGGGTCTCTCACCAGAAGTGTTTACCAGTGTTCACCACGAGCTTCCGAGTTCTGCTAATGGGAGCTCGTTCGACTGTAACTCAGAGGACTTGGGAAACGACTTGGGTGACTTCGCATACCTATTTTACTGAATTCGCCTAAGTGTGACTCTTGATGCTGACACTTATGAGAATGCACAGTGGGACTTCCAGAAAAGTTACCAGTGCAGTTCAGAAAAATGCCTCCGTGAGGGCGGGAGCCTTTGAGGAAGTCCAGGTGGCATGTGCTCTGGGGAGGGGAAGAAGCAAGGGGCACAGCGGCGTCAGGAGTGAAAAACGAGCCGCTTATTCCACGCACATAATAACATAAATCTGATTCAAAAAAGTGAGAGACAAGAGGAGTCGACAGGAAAGCATATGGAAAAAGTTAAATAAAAACCCAAGCTGCTATCACCATTACTCTATGTCTAGAGATTTATTGGGGAGTGGGTGTGTTTACTGTCCATACAACACACGTGCTGCTTAGTCATTCGTAGCCTTGTGCAGCTGAGTTCCCACGGGTGTGGAGCTGGTCTTCCTGGCTGGGCCTGGGCAGCAGACATTTGCTGAGCACCTACTATGTGCCAGGTGTGGTTTGGGGGCAATGAGGATGCTAAGAGGAGTGAGAACACAGACTCCTAGAAGTTGGCAACTCTGCTTGGACTTCTTGTCCCCTCCATACTTAGCACTCCATAGGAGCCAATGGTTAAATAAATAAAAAAATTTGCATCCCGAAAGAACTGTGATTTGTAATTCCCCCTTCTAGAATTTAGGAGTGTCAGCTCAGATGTGCCTGGCACTATGTTAAGTATGTTTATTTGGGTTCCCAAATCTAATCCTTGTGAAAAAGCAGGTGCCATAATTATCCTCATTTTGCAGATGAGGAAACCGAGGAAGCATAGAGAGGGTGTGCCTTGGCTTAGGGCTACACAGTCAAGATGTAAAAGGAAACACCTGCTTCCGGTACCCACACTGTTGGCCTCTACACGACGCTGCCTCCCCAAACCACCCCATGGACCCTACAGATAAAAAATATTGAGCCAATCTGTACTTCTTCTAAAAAATGATTTTATTTTTAACATAGAGATGGGGTCTTGCTATGTTGCCCAGGCTAGTCTTGGACTCCTGGACTCAAGTGATCTTCCCACCTCAGCCTATCAAAATGTTGGCATTACAGGCATGAGCCACCACACTCGGCCCAATCCTTACTTCTGATGCTGTTACTGACCAAGTGGGATCAACTGCTCAGTGAAGTTGATTAGACCATATAGAAGTGAGTGTCCAAAAGTCCAGGGACCCTATTGTCTTCCAATTCATGAGCACTTGACTCTGGTACTTACAGAGAGAGCTCCAAAGGCCTGGGAGCTGAGGCCAGCCCCTGCAACAGATAGCCATGTCCTCACCCTGCTGGCCCTGCCATGTCAGCTCCCAACAGGCAGCGAGGGATTTGGAAAGAGGCCTCTTGCATCATCGCTTCCTTGTGCCAAGCCAGGGAAAGAAAACTTGTATAACCTAGGCCAGCTTTCGGCAGAAAACTGGAGGGTGGAAATCCATGGAATCGAAAGTTAAAGAATTACAGAACTTATATATGAGAACGTGCAGGTGTCCCTGAACCCTGCTTCCCAGGTTCCTGTTTGAAACACCAACTTACTGAGAAGATGAGCCCTCCCTATCTGTGTTGGCTTGTGATTCTATTATCCCATAGCAGATTTTTCATCTGCTTCACGATTTTGCTTTTTAAATATTCAAAACACCAAAGTATACATTTCTTTCCCCGTTGCCATTGATCTTGCTAGGCTGCTTCTTCAAAGCAATGTAGGCTAGTTTTGGGAAGGACGTTTGTCAACTGGCACCTTTTTCCATGAGACTCTGTGGTCATTTTTCAGACAAATCGTGTTTTCTGTGTGCAGAAGAATGGACCTTACTTCTGCACCAGGCTACAAGAACAGCAGTCCCGAGGATGCTCAATTTCCACTAGATTTCAACTTGGAAATATTTCAGGTTTCTATAGTTAAGATAGAGGCCCCTGACAAGACATGCAGAGGCCGGACCCCTACCCTGGGAGATGTGTCCAATCGCCCAAGCCTTGACAAATGTGAATTCTACCTTCCTTGGTAGAGGAGCTGACAGGGTAACTTAGATTTACCGAGTTTTTGGAATTGTCCCCAGCGTGGATCAGAAAAGACATTTTTGTTCCGCGCTGCACTATTACAGGCAAGCGGAACAATTTGCATAGTTACCAGGGAGCTCCGGGGAAGGGTAGCGTTCAGTTCTCAAGCAATTATCTTTATTTCCAATAGAGTTAACTGCACTGCAAAGTGGATCCATTTTCTCACTGCAAAATAAGCGCATTGGATTGTTTTTGTGGTAACTATGCAATTAGTTCTTTTTGCTCATGCCTTGCCTGGTGCTGCTGTCTTTTCTCTGTGAGTGTGTTTGAAACAGTATTCGGTGGCAAATTTGTTTTCACTCAGAGAATGGACTTGCTTACTCTGTAATACCTGAAATCAAGGGCACTGTGGATCCCCAGGGCCGTCTCCATTTTAGGGAGGAGGAAACGGAAACCAAAGCCTAGTGAGCTGCCCAACGGACACCTCATGCCCAGCAGTGCCATGATGGAGCCATCTGTTTGTGTACCAGATCTTCCGTCGATCCTTCTAGATTCTAACACAGATGATGCACACATTTTAAAAGACCGCATGTAGCCACCTAGTGCCCTCAACTCTAAAAGTCATATGCAAACAAAGGTTGGGAAAAAATGGGAATGGGGAAAGATGTTAATAAAAATCTGGATATGCTCTACGATATGCAAACTGAAGGAGAGAACTCAGGCAGGCCTATAAAAAATGGGGGCAAGCCTGAGTTTCACACTGCTTTTCATCTTGTCCTCCTTAGTCATCCCTCTCCACCTAAGGTAGCTGTGGACTTAAATTACCTGGAAGGTTTCTTCAGCAGCCCATTTTCACATGCACATGCTGCACAGGAGCAAAGACCTCCCGAGCTTCCAATAAGAAGGGCTGCTTAGCAGACACTGGGCCGCCAATCATCCAGCACAGGTGAGAGGGGAGTGAGGCAGACATCAAACCCACCATGGGCTTCAGGATCTACGGCAGGGAATGTGTACAGTGAGATAAAGGGACAGGACATCCCCAGTGGCTATGACCTTAGAGCATGTCTCATCCACGTCTGCACCGCCCAAGTGAGGAGAATGAGGCCTGGGCAGGTTTCTGGGGGAGCTGAGACTGGAACCAACCCGGGTCTCTTGAGTCTTGTTCCTTGTAAACTGACTATGGGATCTTGTCTTCATTAAGATGCTTTTAGCTGCAAACAACAAGGCCACCCAACTCCAAACAGCTTAAAGGACAAGGGATGCTTCTATCTCATACTCTATGAAGTACCCAGAAGATTAACACAGGAGAGTAGCTCTAGAATCTGCTTGTCCTGACTCTGAGGCTGATTCTCCTATTATCGCCCTGGGCTGCAGCCTTCATATAAGCGAATGGTCAGTGTCACAGAGAGGTGACATGGCTCTCTGAAGGGCGAGATCCTTCCTGGGATGGAGGTGGCGTGTAATGTTGGGCTGTGGCACATGCGTGGTTTCTCATGGCTGGGGCACCATTAGGCCTCCCCATAAATCTGACAGAGAAAGCTCCAAAGAAAATAAGCCAGCTTTTACAGAGTCACTTTGCTGTGGGTCAGTGGTGACTGAAACAGGAGACACCCAGGCCTCCCAAAGGTTCTAACACCTGGATATTTAACTTGTCTTCTGGGCACATGTTTGCAGCAAGAATCATGCTTTAATAACAGGCACCAAGCAAAGTGGTGTAAGTCTAGATTCATTTTTATTTCTTTATTGTGGGAAAAAATACAAGAACAAACAAGATCACAACACTTCTGGGGAAAGAGTTCTTGAGGATGTGAATTGTCTCTGCCGGGTACATCCAGCCCTGAGCTCACTGTCTTACGACAGCACAAGCTGTGTAGTGAAATGGGAATGATTAGGTTGAAGGCTGGACAGGGTGATGGGTGTGTTAGGGACCTGTCTGCACCCTAAGTGGGCTTTGGATACCATCCTCCAACCCCTTGCTCTCACATCTTCAAAATTAAAGACTGGACAATATAATCTTTTTAAAAAATTGAGATGATAGTCACACAACATAAAATTAACCATCTTCAGGTGCATAATTTAGTGGCATTTACTACATTCACAATGTCGTGTAATGCCCCTCTGTCTAGATCCAAAACATTTCATCATTCCCAGAGGAGACATCCCTACCCATTGAGCTGGAATAATGTCATCTTTTAAGGACATTTTCAATTATAGGATTTTATGACATCAGAATAGGCACTTGACTCATTCAGCTCTGTGAAGATACCCTCCAGACTGCAAAGACATTGAGATAACCCCACAAACGTGAAACTTCTAAATATTTGTCCCTAACAAACACAATTGAGGTGGGGTGGATGACCTGAATCGCCCTGGTGGATGACTCTGTGGCCGATCATTACAAGGCTGACTGGTGTTTTCCTGCTGTCAGAAGCTTCACGATGGGGCCAGTCGGGTGTCCAGTGAGTAGTATCCTTGGCAACAGAGACCCAGGCAGATTTGCGTAAATACCTTTCGTCCCAGGACACAGGATTTACACTGTGTGTTTCTCATCACCTTCAGGAAAACCACTGTCCCTTTTTCTCTTTACCGGATAAGAGTCAGGCTTTCCTGCAAATTCAGATTCCTGAACCAAGGGGCATTTTTGTGGTCATCCCTTGGGTGTCCCTGTCACTGCCATCGGTGGCTGGGGTGAAATGAGGAGGTCGTGGCTGTGTGTTTGAGAGCCTTAGCTTGGGAAAATGGTGTCTTTGCCATCTCTGGTTCTCGACTCTTCAGCACAACTTGGTTGTGCTGTGTGGATTTTCAACATGTTCCAGCTGTGAAATTCCTTGTACTACAAACATCCAATATGGAAGCTGAAAGTGTGCAACAGGTCAAATCAGAGATGCCATGGGTGAGGAGGGCTTAGAGCCCGTCTCCCGCAACCTTTCTCTCTCCTCTGTGAAGGGTGAGTGGAATCACCCTAAATCACTGAGAACCCAGCTGGGAAAACATGGACCTTGACTTTACATAACCTCCAAGCACTGCTGTTGAGAGTCTTTAGAATTTCTGTTCTTTTTTGTTTGTTTGTTTTTGAGACAGAGTTTCACTCTATCGCCCAGGCTGGAGTGCAGTGGTGAGATCTCAGCTCACTACAACCTCCGTCTCCCGGGTTCAAGTGATTCTCCTGCCTCAGCCTCCTGAATAGCTGGGATTACAGGCATGTGCCACCATGTCTGGATAATTATTTATATTTTTAGTAGAGATGGGGTTTCACCATGTTGGTCAGGCTGGTCTCAAACTCTCGACCTCAGGTGATCCACCTGCCTCAG